TCCCCTTTCCTCCTCTTCCCTTTCCCTCCCTTCTCTTCCCCTTCCTTTTCATTTTTCCTTTCCCTTTTCTTTTTCCTTTTCCTTTCCCCTTTTCTTTTTCCCTTTCCTTTCCCCTTCCCTTTTTCCTTCCCTTTCCTTATTTCCAAGCTGGAAATCTGGGATTTATTCTCTCACACTCCTGATTTTCAAGCTGGAAATACAGGGATTTATTCTCACATTCCTGATTTTCAAGCTAAAAATCTGGGATTTATTCTCACATGCCAAATTTCCTAGCTGCAAATCTGGGATTTATTGTCTCATATTCCTGATTCCCAAGCTGGAAATCTGGGATTTGTTCTCTCACATTCCCGATTTCCAAGCTGGAAATCTGGGATTTATTCTCACATTCCTGAGGAAGCAGCACCAAGCTGTTCTCCTGGTTTTCCCTGCTCAGCTTTCCCAGGAACAGGCATTCCTGGAATAAATCCCTCTTTCCCCCCCTCCAAAAAAAAAAAACCCTTTCCCAGGAGCTGGGATGGATTTCAGGGCATTCCAGAGGGTTGGAAGAGCAAACCCCCAGCAATTCCTTCTCCTGGATAAACTCTTCCACTCCCTGTGCTGACAAAATTCCCAAAATTCAGCTCATTCCCATGATCTTTGTCCTAAAATGATTTCCTGGGACGGGACAGAAGTGGCTTCGTTTTCCTGGTGGATCCCAGATTTCTCTGGGCAATCCCAGCCTCACAATTCCAAGGGGATTCTTTTCCCCAAAGCTTCCAGAAGAACAAGCAAGCCTTGAGAGAAGGAATGAAGTGACTTTTCCCCCCATTTCCAAGAGCATTCTGCATCCCAGGAATGCTCCAGGAGCAGGGCACAGGACTGGGAAGAGAAGCTAAAAATGAAAATACTAATCCAGGAGTAATTTTGGAAACAAACTGGAGAATTGTTTCATCCTGGATTTTCTTCCCATTAAAGAGAAAAAGCAAAGGAAAGAACTCATCCCCTTTTAAAAATTCCTGGATAACAAAGGAAAGCGCTCATCCCTTTAAAAAATTCCTGGATATTAAAGATTCCAAGGGATGAAGTGGCCAGCCCAGAGCTCCCCACACAATTCTCTCCCTCTCCTGCTCCTGCTTTGTTCCCCAGCTCTGAACTGGGAATCAGCAGCTCCATTTGAACCCCAACCATGGATCCAAGCCACTCCACCTCCAAAAATTTTGGGACAACAGGGGGACCTGCCCTTTCCCTGCCACATTTTCCCACTGTTCTCCAGAGCTGCCCCTGCTATTCCTTTGTAACTCACTCCTGAACCTGGTGTCCATGGATTCCTCCCACTCCTGCCCTTCCCAGCAGCAAAAGTGGTTTCATTGGAGTTTTTCCTGCTGGAGTTTTGGGTACTTTGGGCTCCTGGATTGAAGTGATCTCCTGAATTTCAGGAATGGGCCAAAGCACATGGTGCCAAATGTGGAATGATGTTTTATTCCACTTTTTTTCCCCTCTTCCACACAAACCCTGCCTGGTTTCATGACCAGTGAGATCTGCAGGGCTCTCCCAACAGGAGGGAGAAGCACCAGCTGGGCAAGAAACAAAACCAGCTCAACTAGGCTGAGCTTATTTGGCTTTTTTAAAGAAAAGACCCCATAAAACCTGAGCCCTGCCTCCTTTTCCCCAGCCAGAGCCCTGCAAAAGGAAGTTGTACCACTCCCATCCAGTAAATTCTGAGGCAATGGCCCCTGAGTGCCAAACCCACCTCATTTGAGCTACTCCCTCTCCTGGGCCAGCCCCTCAGAGAAAAACCAGCAACAAGAGCTTCCCCTGGGGGTTTTACAGCCCCAGGGCTGCTCGCTGAGGAGCTGGGGCTGGGAACACCCCAGAGTCTGCAGGGACAGACCCAGAGTCCCTGAAATCCCCTGGCAACAAAGGGAACAATTCCACCATCCCCTGGCACTGGGATGCAAGGAGCAGTAATTCT